TTAAGTCACCAACCAAAGTCTCAACTCATGTTACGTTACAACACAAATACCACAGAAACTTTTACAAATGGCCGTGAATGATCTTCAAACTGTCAAAGCTCCAGCAGACTCTCTGTGTTTCCAGTGCAGACATGGAGAGTCTGGCAGCTCCGGTAGATCTGACTAGCGGCAGCTGTACTCCTGCGTCTTTGAGTCATAGGAGTGGTGGTCAGGGGTTAGTTACACTTTAACTCAGTTTGTTGAGGTTAGGGAACCTTTGTTATTATGGTCAAAAGAATTTAGTTAAGGTTAGGGAAAGATGGAGGTCACAGTGAAAAGACAGTTTAGTTTTAAGTGTCTGACATATCCAATGTTGGTCTGGGTAATCCTGTTTAACCTGGAGAGACTTGTTGCTGTTGAGCATTTTTAAATGTCATTTCTTAATTTTTTGAGCACCTGAATGAAATTCTACTCGCTTGCATTGCATTGAGGTTACAGTAAAAATCTCCGAGGCAAGTTTGTCAAAACCTCAGCACATAAAACACGAAAAACACTGCATGGCTAGACACCACAAGGGGTAAGTGAGAAAAATATATTTTTTGTGAGTGAACTGATCCTTTAAGTTTTCTCTGGGCTCCAGCCTCTTTACAGTTTTGGCCAAGGGGTTGGACGAGGAGACGACAGGAGATGTTGAGACCTTTAGCCGCTCCAGCACATCTTTACGACTGACATTTATCAACCTCTTGTGAATACTTTACTTTCTCCTGGCTAGACCTGCTCCCCTTTTGCTGCCCTTTGGCTTCAATTATAAGACTCAGTACCTCTGGCTTAAGTACAACATGGAGCTAACGTTTCCTTTTCCCTCGGCCTCCACTGATACGGATGTGAAAATAATCCACATTGCCTCTGTAGCTTAGAGGAGCATCTAAAATATCCCAGAGAATCCTATCCCTTTACATATACTGTGCTTCATCACACACAGAGAACAAATAAGCTAGAAGTGGTTTTGACAAACATACAGTGTGAATCAGAGAAGAGATAGAACATTTATGAGAATCATAATAGGTACAAAAAGACAGATGAAAGGACTCTTGCTTGGTTAGGAAATATATTCAGCACCAAACATGACCAAAGTGCTTCTCAGATAATAGGATAAATATGAACTGGCCTTGACCCTCCCATCAGTCCACAGGTGGATTATTTTTTCTTTGTTTACGGGATGTTAATTTGCTCAGAAATCCAAACAAACATGAATTGGGTTACAGTAGTTCATTAACTTGCATTATATCACACCCAACCAAGTGGCTGTCACTGTAAAGCTGTAAAATTGACTTGCCCCAGAGAGAATAAATCTCAAGCTCTCCTCTTTGTTCCCCTTTCCAAAGCTTCTCCAATCTGAACCCGCTTAAAGTCAGCAACAAAAAATCTATTTATTGCAGGGTATTGCAGGAAATTAGGCATAGATTTATAGAGAGGAGTCACAATCCAATTACTGGGTGACTGTGTGAAATGGAAAATATGGAGCTAATTTCATTAATATTCTATCTCTGAGTATTTACGGTACTGCGGTGGTGGAATTAACTCAAGTATTCCTTACACATATCTTAAATGTCCTCCAGCCGGCACATATACGCTTCATTAACCTTTGTCATTTTCAACCTTTTTGGCCTCTTAATTTACAGTCGCTCACGCACAGACGTGCATGCGCTCACACACACACAGTCTACTGTTCCACAGAGTAAAATGTTACTCTCTCTCTTCAAGTGTGCAATTGTGGATTCTTTACTCATCCAGTGCTGATGAGAAAAGTTTGATAAGTTCCCGTGGATGCTGTCCAGACTGCTCTATGACACTTGGATGAGTTATTTTCCTCTAAAGGTTATTCTGTTGGACCAAAAGGCATTCGGTTTACAACACTACAGTTCGAAACTAATGAAGTATTGATATGGCTGGTTAGCAATACCATATCTGAAGACCATGTAGTATATAGAGCTATTAGGCCTGTCACTTTAAAAAAAAAAAAGTTTTATCAAATGACAAAGCAATCTCAAAACACAGAGTACAACTGTATGACACCATACAGGAAAACATAATGTAAACATTATACTGAAGGATAAGACATTTGCTACTACTACCCCCATGGGCCCCATATCCTTACATTGGAAATCTTGCTGTCATATCGGTGATGGTATTTGTATAGTAATAGTACCAGTCAGACGAGGTTGTACCATGGATGTATAAAGAGCACTGGATACAGCGTTAGAGGTGGCGCTCCCTTCATTCCTATGAAAGCTGCTCAATGGCGCAAAAAAGGAACTTCCTGCTGCAAAGAAATGATTCTCTTTGCATCCTCTATGGGACTCTCACTGGCTGAACTGGCTAACTTCCAATTTAGCCCTCTGTTAACTTGAATGGGGATAAATAATTTAATCTTGGAAATCATTTTTTTGCAACTTTGTCCATCTGTCATTTGCTGCTAGGCAGGAAGCTAATGTTGGATGGATCAGAACGTTTAACCTAAAAACAGCTGCCCTCTAATGGAAACAAGGTAAAAGCAGTTATGCAATGATATTTAGCATATTAGTAAATGTAGAACCAAACCAATCAGCTAAAAAAAGGCTTAAAAGCACACTAGAGCCATTGTAAGTGGGTTTCAGTCATTGTTAATACAAATATCATTACTCTGTAAAATAACTGCAAATAATATTTTTTTAACTTTATTTTATTTACCAGGGAATGTGCCGTAGTTAGCTAATAAGCACATTTTCATGGGGAGATGATAACAAATTTGTGGCTAATGTCATCAGCATAATGCTTCAACAAGTACTACAAAAAAATACAATATAATGCACAAGTACATTAGCCCCTGACATTTCTGCCCTGACCACAGCCAGTCAATCAATCAAAATCATTTAAAATACATTAAGATATATAAAAATAGGAACAGAAAGCAACATGACATTCTCTCATCTGTAAAGCTATCCTTTTTCCATCTATATTTTTCTTTATTTTAACTTCGTGAACTGCATTTTTTAAGTTATTTTTCACAAGATGGTGAAATCCAGTATTCTTATTCAAGCCTGTCATGTGTTTGCATTAGCACACTGTGAGGACTGGGAGGAGCCCACACAAAATTCAATTATAAGATCTTGTGTAAACATCAACATGCAAAAGTGTTATTTGGAGTTACTTTTGCATGCAGTACAGCTGCGCAGGGAGCGACTGAAGCCATGGAATGGTTGTCGAATGCAAACAAGGCAAAGCCTTCACACCATCATTTCCTGGAACTGAACAACATTATGCTACAGAAATCCTTTCTGCTTTGTGGCGTCTGTCCTCCAGCATTTTCTCCTATTTGTTTATGACTGAAAGGTGAAAGAAGGTTTTTCATGCAAGATAATAAAGCAAAGAGCTGTAGTAATCTCCATATTGTATTATTTTTTTTATTATTTTTACATTTACACAACTCAGCAGGGTGTTTTGCTCTCCATATTCTGATGTATACAACTGGAATACACATTTCGGTAAGTATGCCCACTCATATAATGTTCCTGTAATCCCCCATTTACCAGAAAAGCACCAGCCAATTATAAAGTTGTCTACTATTCCAGCTGAGTTGCAGTTCCGGGGAGTGAGCAAAACGTTAATTGGGATTTGTAGTTCAGACAGCGTTTGAGTGCATTTGATTGGATTGGTCAGCATGTGGCTCACGTATGTGGCATTATATCTGCCTTTTGTGATTGATGAACTGGTGTTAGTGGGCCTGCCCACCATGGCTGCTGTTACCCAAGCGAGTGCTGACAAATGACTCACTGGCATAAGAGAGCAGAAACACTTTGCCCTACAGTGCCACACTGAGAAGGATATTGACTGTGAGAGCCGTCTGTAGTCGCTTTCTCGCTGCTGTCTGACGACATAATGGGCACACAGAGATTGTCATGCCAAAGGCCACCTCTAAACCTAATGTAAGCCCCTGTGCGCGACACAGGGACAGTACTTCCCCTGCACTTACATAACGACTTTTATTGACAAGTTGGCGCCAGAGGCATCGCGAGAACTTTGTGGTGGCCTGTACTTTCACAATTATAATAGGAAAACTAACAAGTTCAAGATTGTTTTGTTTATATCTCATTATATTCATAATAACTGCAGTAATCCTACCTCTGACAATGTTCAAGTCAGTGTTCCTACAGTCCAAAATCACAAAAGGATGTTACAATCTGTATAACACCCTTTATCGTTAAAAACCATTGACAGTATATATAATGGACAGAGCTTCTGGGTCTGTGAAGTTAAGTGTCTTAAACCTGCATTACATGGAAAGGACAGCAGGGGGAGCTCCACTGGCTGCAATAATACACCTATACCATGCAGTCTTTTGGAGAAATGAGCCGACTTCTCAATTGTTTTTTATGAGCTCGGTAAACAGTTTCCTAATTAGTTTTTGATTTAAGTCTCCAGTTTCTACGGAGCCCCCCTGGTGAC